TCCGTGTGCCAGTTCAAAAATCATATTGAATTATTTTCAACTTTTTTAGATGAAAGCCGTGAAAGCCAAACGTAAAATTTGAGAAAGAAAACAAAAAAACCCCTCTCATTATAAATTCAATTGTTTATTTTCTATAAGCCCGCTTGTTGACATAAATATTTTCATGGACGAGTACTATCCATCCGGGTATTTTCCTCGGACGGGCACTATGGGCTGATAGTGTCTCTCCGCGGACGAACACTATTGCGTCACGTGATCAGTTTAAACCAATAAGAATCGGAGAAAATTTAGTGGTGAACTATAATCTGTGATAGATAGTGAGTAGCGTAGCAATGTGCCCTCGTTAACAAAATCAAAGCTGCTTCTTGGCGTTTTCGAAGTATCAGTGAAGACGATTTAGATAAAGTTTTGAACGACTAGTACATTTATACTAAAACAATTAGATTACTCGCTCTCGATTACTATGCGTGTTAGAAATCTCGAGCTCATAACCTAATTGTTTAATAGAAACACGGGTGGAAGTTCGGGAGAACGAGAAATGCTGTGGGAACACGAGCCGAAAAAGAAAAGGAAGGAAAAAAAAAGAAAACAACTTGTTTGCTTTGATCACCAAAATATAAATTCTCCATGCTCGCGCCATCATTACGTCAACAGCTGGTGCTAGTTCTGTGTTTTATCGAGTTATAGAAACACAATTTTAAATCAATCTGTGCGTGTATTTTCCTTGGGCTATTTTCTAAATAATTATCATCGTCATCATCATCGTCATCATCATCATAATCTTCACTTTAAGGAGCCAGCGGTCTGTACAACTTACTTCATGTAACTGTCGGTCTCTCTATACCCAAAGAAATGATGCAAAACTTCAATGATCGAGCTATCGGGAAATTTGGAATAAGAAACACGTGATTCATACTCCAATTCTGAGCATGCGTTCCTGCAGGGGCACGATGTCACGTTAAATGTTCCTAAGAAATAAAGACATGCAACTCGTGAGTACTGGTAATCAATCTGTTATTTTTGAAGTTACATAACGGCTCTTTCTCACCCCACCCCTTCCTCTCTCAGTGTAGATAGAGTAGATTATAAATGAAACTGCTGACAAATGCAAAGAGATAAAACTACTTATATTTTCTTACTTTGAGAATTGTCAACACATCCAGTGTCTTGAACAGAACACAGAGGTACGGTCTTTGGTTCTGCTAGTAGGAAAAAAACAAATTGCCGTTTATACTTCACGCGAGTTAACGTTGAAGTATACCATGATTGTAGCATCCAGTGATAACGAGTGGTTAAAATGACCCATCAAAATCTAACTGCTGGAAACTGTTTTGAGCCGCCTTTTTTTGTTTATTTTTAACCTCTTGTAAGCGACCACCTCCAGTAAGTGACCAACTAGGCTTGACATTTTTGGTGTTCGCTTGCGGAAGGTTCGACTGGCGACTGGTTGTGAGGCAAACTAACCGTGAAAAGTGCTTTTTGTTGGAACAAGCCCACAAACTCCATATCATGAAATAAGATATTTCGGTCTCAATTAGCTTGCAGTGATAAGGTTGGAGATTACAAGTGAATGTGATCAGTTATATCATTAAGCGTACTTCTTGTCAACAAAGTTATCTAGTAATAAAAAGAAAAACGTTAAGAAGATCTAACCTGGCGATCCAAGCATACGGCAGCCACATTTTTCTAGGGTCATATTTGCGGTACATTGGTAAAGGCAGCCGTCCTTTGTGTAAGAACCTATTCCTGGCAGGTTATCCTGTTGACATTGTGTCTTGAATGGCGCCGGAAGTCTAATGTGCTAGATTTGACAGGAAGCATTTAATCTTAATTATTACCATTATTATTATTATTATTATTATTATTATTATTATTATTATTTTATTTTTATTTTATTTTTTTATAAGAGTCATACAAACTTTAGTAAGTACTTTTTCATACAAACTTGAATCTTACATGTATCTGTTAAAAAAAAAGAAAAAAAATCAGAAATCTGTTGTTCCTCAAGTTTTTTCCCTAAAATAATTCAGTCTGTAAAAATTTCAATAGCCTACCTACATAATTATACTTTGTAAGCATTTAATAATTTTTTAACAAAATAATATAATAATGAGAATAATAATTTTTCCTTATAAAAAAAGGGATAAAAGAATAACAGTAATACTAATACTACAAATAGAAATACCAATAATAATTATTCTTATTTTTATTATTTATTACTATTATATGGCTGTGTTTCACAAGGAATGAGAAGTACCGAATTCACGAATTTGATTGGCTGAAATCGGTATTGATATCGGTCTAGATTTTCCCATCTAGACCGGCATCTAGACCGGTTATGTTTTGCGGTGAAAAAGTTGCAAACTAAAATGGAACAATATTGACTATTTTCTTCTAACAACATTAATCTATCAAAGTGCCAAAAAGCCTGATTAAAAAAAGTAAAGAGGACGAGCAAACTTTTGCAGAATTAAGTTTAGCTCATCGCCGTTCGGAAGCGAAATGTCAGTTACCTACAAACCAGTTACATAAAACGAATTAAATTGTTCTTGGTTGCCATAAAATAAACATCTCATTAATTATATAACCAAGCTTAGTCGGTCTGTGTGGGAGAATCTCGACCTCGGTCGTGTGTACTCCCTCTTTGATTCTGATAATTTTCCTATAAGAGGATTGTTTCAATTGTTTTGAATGCAGTCAACATATACACTTTATTAAAATATGACTACCAATTTATTTTGTGTGCATTTAAATTAACCCAACTAACCTCGTTTGAGAGTTTAAAAATTCTTTTGAATTATCAACTCAAAAACGAGGTTAGTTGGGCTAATTTTAATACTTACAAAAGAATTTGTTTTATTGACAGCCATTTATGGATATGGTCTATACTTGAGCTTCCTCAGGATGTAGAGTATGTCTTCTTGTCAATAAAGCGCACAGTTGAAAACAATGCGCAGGTCCGCAATATGTGCTAAAGAAAGGGGTGAAGAGATACCTAGGTCCTTCAACACGAATTGAAATGACAATAGTTTAGTTCAAAAGAAAATTTTTCTCTTGTTCAGATTTAATAACCGTAAAATGTCTTAGACTTATTATCTAAAATATAGTATCACAGAAGACGTATTATTTATTAGTGTAAAACGTGTTGTCTCCTGTGCAGACATTTAGTAAACAAATCGAATCTGACTGTATATTTGATGTATGTACATCAATTGGGAGAAGCCAGTTTTAAATCAACGAATTCATCATGTTGTTTTGTTTCATTCCTTTTGATTTCGCAGCACGTTTGCTCTGCATCTACCCGTTGTTCTTTTGTTTTCAATTCCACGTATTTTATTCGTGTTATCAAAGTTCTTCTAGGTAACACCTGTTGTATAAAACTAGTATGTTAACTTGAATATTCAAACTCACTCTACTTGTGACTGACAATAACAGAGGTTATTGTCGAAACATATATTTAAAACTGAAAGGCGTTGTTCTTTTGAAAAAGATCTATATTTATAGCTTGCTGCTAACAAGACCATTTGATTATTTCTATCAAAACCAAAATTGAATATTTTGTTTGACAACCTACCTTTCTCAACTTGACTGCAACTGACGCATGGGTACCAGGAAGGATGTTGAATCCAGAGTGGAGGTTGACAAATGTATTTTGGTCGTGAACAATCACTTTCAATCCGTTTGAAAATTGACCAGTAGTGCTTTCATTAGTTTGAACATCAAGAAGAATGCTTAACCCGAGATCGGGGCCTTCAAATATGGTACTACGCACGCTGCTGTTACGACCGGAGTTGAATGTGAAGCAAATGCCATCTTGTGTTAGGTCTGTTACAAAGTCTTTATCAGAACAATCTACGTCTTTCATGAAACGGCAGTAAAGAACGAACATGTTAGCCATTTCGTGTCCATATTTTGTGAGAAATTCTTCTTCGTTGTACAGACGATCCGTAGAACGGTTTAGTGCCTTAATTATGTTTTGTTGAGTTGTCTCATTACAGCCTTGAACCAGAGCTGTCCCATACCAGATGTAAGCACATAACATTGCCTGCCCACAAGTGAGATTCCCACGAACTTTACGTATTTCACTGCATCCACTTATGTTCAATCCCATCTTTTGAAAGTTTTCTTCTTCATCAGCCATATCGATTTTGGATTTCATAAACTTGTTTAAATTACAGATTGTCACTGCAGGGAAAGTCAAGCCATCCGTTGACGTTTCTTGTGAAATAACTGTTTTAATTGGCCTTGAAAAATATTTATTCAGGCTTACGGACAAATAATATAGGAAGGTGCTGGTGGCGATGCCAAGAAATATCAACCAAATTAATCGCTTCGTGATGGAATGGCTGTTCCCTGCCACGTATCTGAGTCCATGAAGAGTGGTACTGGAAGCAAAACGTTTCCATTTGGAAGAATTAGGCAATTGACCTGGCGTCACATTTTCGTTACATGTACAGGTCTTATTTGACAAATCATCGCTTGAAGTCCCTCTTGTGCTCATGGCAACTGACGGTGCAAGAAGTAATTTTCTCCTGTAAAGTAAAATATATCTTGAAAATATTGCTCATAGTTTTATAAGTATGGGATTTGATTGTCCTGGCTTCGCTTTTTGATTAAAAACGACAGAAAGCGATTTACCAAAGATAGATCTGCTCTGCAAGACAGAGATTACGTTCTCTTTCTACTCGAGAGACGAGAGGGATCCTCTGCTCGCACCACTCGATTTCCTATCGTGTGCATGGCAGATTTACGTCAGCATGTTTGCATATCGCGCTTTACCATGCGAAACATGAACACGCAATCAGGATATTTAGTTATATAATTGGAATCCCGATCTTGCCACCATTTATTTGTAAGAGACACTACAGAAATTTTGTAAGGCTCTACCGAGTTCTGAGGAACAAAGAAACAGAAGAATTACACCAAAAGTGGCTTTATTCAAGACTGCGCTATCAAGCGCGTGCTTCGCAAACTGCAAGCCAGCTGCAGATAAACAAACTGTGTCATAACGAGTTTAATGAAAACTTCAACTTAATAACCTGTCTATCAACACTCACATCAAGTTCCTTTGACATTGTGAGTTATAGCTTGTTAAGGTAAATTAACGTACAGCAGTGTGGCAGCTAATCAAACAATCGAGGGGTTACAAGCAGATGTTCCCTTTCGCCTCTCAAAAAGCAGACGGAGAAATGATGTCTTATTCTCGCAGGTTGAGATAGGAATTCCTTGTCGGCAAAACGTTTT